AGGCTACAGATTAAACCTCATAGTCCAGAAACCAAAAAGTCTTTGATTTTAAATCAAAAACTGATTTCAGAATAGTTTTAATAACAGACTTTAAATAAAACCCAGGCAGGAATGTGAAGAAACAAAGCAAAAAATATATATATACATACATAAAAAGTAATAAATGTAATTAAAAATGAAAAATTTTAATTAAATAATATATATTTAAAAAACAAAACTACTTCTAAAAGTAAACTAAACCGGGGAAATAATGAAGAAAAAAACAAATCTATAAAAGACATTCTGTATTTTTACTAGTGAACTGGCTTTAAGATTTCTATCTGTAGTCAAAATAATAACATTTATTTTACTACTGAAAGCTGTAACGGCCTTTATATCTAATTAGGAAAAACATGTATCTATTTAGCAGCTAAAAGAAGAAATGAGACAGTCAGTAAACTAATTTTTCGCTTGAAAAACAATCGGGTTTAATCCTTTAAGACCTGCCATAGAACAAGTTCGCCAGAACTTATATTTATATTTTTACATGCTGTAGTGCCATTTTTTGGAGTATTTCAACTTTCTATACATCAGTACAACCCATACATTCTAAATTTTAATAATATAAATGTAAAATGTCCATAGCAACTAAATAATTAACAAAAAAATGCAATTATCTATTCAGAAATTGAAAATCGTTTTTTGTTTTTACACGTATTTTTCATTATACAGAAATGCCACAGCTTTATCCCTCAAAATTATCAATGAAAAAAAGTTGCACACAATCCTTTCAAACAACAAAAAATCTATTTGAAGCGCCTCCATAAATTAGTTTCTGAGATAAACTCATTTATATAAACTATAAAAAAAAGAAAACATAAATAATAATCAGCAGGAGGCTAAAATAATAATGTTCATGCTCATTTTTCAGTAATATATAGTTTTACTTTTCACTCACTAATAAAAATAACAATAATAAAGAATGTTGCATGAATATATATGCGAGGAAACAGAAACTCTGTCATCTTCCGGCGCTGTAATTAGGGATGCAACGATCAGGTTTTTTGATGCTGATCACCGATACCGATCACCGATACCGATCACGTGGATTGGCCAGAAATTTTCTACAACATTATAATGAGTGCTACAAACTAGATAATCTGGGAATAAAGGAAATGTAACCTAATCTAAAATGGTCTGTATTAGGGTTGTCACGGTGTGAAAATTTAACCTCACGGTTATTGTGACCAAAATTACCACGGTTTTCGGTATTATCGCGGTATTTTTTTTAAACGTGCTACATTTTCACACAATTAAATAAACCCTGTATGTCAGGAAATATTGTCCTCAGTTTGTGTCTAAATTTTGCCTAAAATGTGTTATTTTGTAATTATGTTGTTTATTTGTTTACATTTTTCCCCTTTAGTCTTTAAAATACCAATATTTGCCCATAACTTCTTATTTCATGTCTGTTTGATGTCATCATTTAAAAAATATTAGATCAGATGATACTCAGTACTCAAGTAGCCTTCTAATCAGATACTTTTTTACCCTTACTTGAGTAATAAACCCTATATCAGGAAAATATTGTCCTCGGTTTGTGTCCTTCCAGTGAGCTTTGCAGATGTGGGAAAATGTCATCAGGCAGTAATCATTGTTAAATTCATAATTATTCTCGGAGAGAGACCAACTCTTATCTGCCCCTGGGAGCCCCGTAATGCATAGCGTCATTTCAACATGGCGGTGTCCGCGACACGGTTTATATGCAGGTAGCGGCGCTGCGGCTGCTTTATATAGCGACTCGTTGCATTCTCCCTCAACCCAAATCCTCGGATCACGCATTTTAGCTAAAACGCTAGCGTTAGCTTGCCTTGCGTTGACTGTAGAGTTGTGGGTGATGGTCACGCAGATGTGTCATGAGATTTGAAGCGTTGCTGCCTTTCACAGACACTTTTCTGCACGTGCTGCAAACAGGATAGCTGTCTTCTATCAGCTGTCCCTCGGCATTCTTCAAATATCCAAAAGATGCCCGTACTTCCCACTTTGTCTTCTTTGAAGGATAAAAAATGTCCTCCTGAGCGCTGCCGTCTCCTCCTTTGGCCATTATTTCAGTTTTAGCTTCAAGAAAGTTTTGGTTGTAAACAACAAAGCACGCATGTGCCACCGGCAACTTCAGCAGATGATACGGTGGCTGGTAAGGGTCACCGCGCCGACATCGCAGCCACGGTAAACCCACCGAGATAATATATTTTTTTAAAAAACAAGACGGTTATTATTATTATCAACTTTTTTTTTTTTACTGGGGTTTAGCGCTACACTGGTTACCGTGACAACCCTACCTGATTGGTCTGCTTTGATCTATTTTGAAAACTCCGATCAAAACCGATAGGGGCGCTATCGGCCGATTACGATCAAATGCTGATCCATCGGTGCATCCCTAGCTGTAATGGCATCAACCGATCCTCGAGGCGATTCAGTAATTCATCAAAACGTTCGTAGTGGTGTGTGATGTGTGTAGGATGTGTTTGTTTAACTGTATTATTGCGAAAAGCACAGGAAAAACCCAAAAGACTGGGACTACAAAGAACTACAATTTGTGGGAAAAGGACGTCAAAGCAGGTGATTGGGTGAGTGATAATCATGTGACGGTTCACGTTGACAACGTGATGACGTTTATTCTAGCGTGTGAAGCCCTGTGAGCTGCAGATCAGAACGACATATCATCTGTGTCTGAATGAAAACGCTTTTCTTATTTGCGCATTTTGGTTGTTTTTGCAAAATCATTAGCGGAAATACGCAGCGCTCTGGGACGTGTTCGGTGCGTGAGATGTAAGTGTAACTCCTCCGGTTTAATACGCAAAAAAATGTTTTTGTTCCATCTTATATAGTTTCAGTTCTACAAGCATTTGAACACAGATATGCTAATGGGAGCGCCGGCGCTCCCGCCGGTCTTAAAAGTTTGCTGATTGATAACTGACTTTTAATGAATTTATTATGTAAAAGACTGTTTTTCCAGTCTGGTATAGGTATAGAACAAAAATCAGATAAATTTGCCATAATAGTTGTCAAATCTGATGTTTTTCGATGGTAAAATTACTGTTTTTATGTTTTCATGACCCCTAAATTCTGCCTTTTTAAACCCGTTTATTTACTAAACCAGATTTGGGGAAACAAACGAGGCTGCGACTGTGTGACGTTCTGATGAAAATGTTTACCTTTTGCCAAATGTCTTCAAACTGCTCAACCCCCTCCGCTACTTTTTTCAGACATCGATCTATTTCACCTGAAAGAGAGAAAACAGAGAAATGTGAATTTAAACCAGTAAAGAAACAGAAACGCTGACAAAGAAATGAATGTTATTTAACAATGAATCTGTATTTAACACCTTTTTCTACTTTAATCTTGTTTATTTTTAGCCTTTATGAAAAACAGACCACTGAATAACCAACTCTCATCAGATATGAAGGAAAAACAACAAACCAGTCACACAAATTCTAGCCAACATCTCACGAAATATGCATTTTATAAAAGGTGTATTATGCTCGTGAGTGCTGGCACACACACACACACACACACACACACACACACACACACACACACACACACACACACTCACAATGCTCACACTTACACACACAAGGAAGTGTATCTAATAAGACTTCAAAATTTTATTTTATTTCTAATTCCTGCACAAACCACAAGACTATTAGTTTTTAATTAGAATTCGATTGACACCAATAGCAAATTTCACCATTCAAAAAGTTATAAATTAATAAATAAACTAAAATAACTGAACTCGACAGGAAAAACTCAGCATTCTGCAAATGCTCTAAACTCAACATGAATTATTTCCAGCAGCACCATAAAGTTTTCTTCTTGACGGCCTTGCAATAAAATTTGAACTCTGATACAATAAATGTTTTAATTGACAATTTCCACTGTGTCATTTAGCTATTAAAGACACTTCTATGTTATTAAAACATTATTAATGTTAAGAGGAGCTGCAGGGAAAATGAAATGACGATAACAGGCTGAGTCTGCAGAAGATCCTAAAACAAAAACTGTCCACTACACTGAAAAGTCAGCTGCCTTTAGCTTAACCCCTTTTAATATTATTGACATTATTAATTCATTTATGCAGGAGCTGCTGAGTGACAGGAGCCAGGTGAAGGAGAGCGAGTGGAAAAACAAGTTGTCTAAACAAACTCCCGTTAAAGTCTGGGTTCAAACAGCCGCGGTGTTCTGATGCATCAGCTGGTGTGTTATTTTCAGATGAAAGTACACCTCCTCTCTAATAACACATTACAATATGACAAGACCAGAGCAGAGCTTGGACTTCAGCAAAACTTTTTTGCTTTCAAAAGATGTTCATGTGTTAAATAGCTTTAATACCAAGGAAAATGCTGAATCATTAAAACAAATCTTTAGAAAATTCTATTGAAATAAAATGTACGTTTATTAGATTAAACGAGTTCATTTCTGTGGCATAAAATCGGAGCATCAGATTAGCCAATTAAAACTACAATGGAAAATTGAGAAAACAAATTAGATTAAAATCTCTGGTGCTGCATGGTGGCGCAGTGGTTAGCACTGTTGCCTCGCAGCACGAAGGTTGCAGGTTCGAAACTCGGCTTGGCTGCGGCCTTTCTGCGTGGAGTTGTGTGTTCTCCCCATGCATGCGTGGGTTTACTCCGGGTACTCCGGTTTCCCCCACAGATCACAACATACCTTAGGTTATAAATTGTAAGTCGCTTTGGATAAAAGCATCTGCCAAATAAATAAACATAAACATAAAATGGTCCTTGGTGGCAAGGCTCTGGGGGTGGATGAGATTCGCCCAGAGTTCCTTAAGGTTCTAGAAGTTGTGTTGGCTGACGCGACTCTGCAATATCGCGAGGACATTGGGGATAGTTCTCTGGATTAGCAGACTGGGGTGGTGGTTTCCCTGTTTAAAAAGGTGGACTGAAGGAAGAGTTCCAACTACAGAGGGATCACACTCCTGAGTCTCACTGGTAAGGTCTATTCAGGGGTTCTGGAAAGGAGGGTCTGTCGGATTGTCAAACCTCGGATTCAGGAAGAGCAACGTGGTTTTCGTCCTGGCTGTGGAACATTGGACCCGTTCTATACCCTTAGGGGGATCCTGGAAGGTGGTGGGAATTTGCCTAACCAATCTACATGTGTTTTGTGGATTTGGAGAAGGCGGTCCACCACGTCCGTCAGGGGGCCCTCTGGGGGGTACTTCTGGAGTATGGGGTACGAGGCCCTCTTATACAGGCTGTTAGGTCCCTGTATGACCGGTGTCAGGGCTTGGTCCGCATTGCTGGCAGTAAGTCGGGCTCGTTTCTGGTGAGAGTTGGACTCCGCCAAGGCTGCCCCTTTTCACCGATTCTGTTCATAACCTTTATCGACAGGATTTCTAGGCACAGCCGAGGTATTGAGGGGATCCGCTTTGGTGGCCTGAGAATTGGGTCTCTGTTTGTTGCAGATGATGAGATCCTGTGGGCTTCATCAGAACGTGATCTCCGGCTCTCACTGGAGCAGTTCACAGCCAGCTGGGATGAGAATACGCTCCTCTAAATCCAAGACCATGGTCTTGAGTCAGAAAAGGGTAGAATGCCTTCTCTGGGTCAGGGATGAGGTCCTGCCCCAAGTGGAGGAGTTTATGTATCTCTGAATGCAAGATCAGCAGGCGGATTGGTGATGCATCTACAATGATGCAGGCGTTGCACCGATCTGTACTGAGACAGCTGAACCGGAAGGCGAAGCTCTCAATTTACTGGTCGATGTGCATTCCAACCTTCACCTATGGTCATGAGCTATGGTTTTGGTAGTGATCGAAAGAATGAGATCGCAGATACAAGCGACCAAAATGAGTTTTCTCCGCAGGGTGGCTGGGCTCTCTCTTAGAAATAGGTTGAGAAGCTCGGTCATCCCGGAGCGGCTCAGAGTAGATCCGCTGCTCCCCACATCGAGAGGAGCCAGTTGGACCATAGAATCACCTGGTTGCCGGTCTTGCCGAACCGCCATGAACAACAAAAGATGTTTCAACCTAAAAAACTGCAATCCTCAGATTAGCATCTAACACATGTTGAAAATTGTGGATTTTGTTGGGAGTTTCAAATCTGCTTAATTAGAAAGCAGAGATGCAACAAAATGTATCCTATTAGGTGCTTTTTCTGTTAATTTTGTTTAAAAAAAAAGTAAACAGTGGTATACGGCTGCAGCCAAACATCTCTAACCTGGCTGGAGGACGTCTTTCACCACTTACGTGTGATCACATGTGACTTTGTTTACAAGGTATACTGCTGGTTTAAATCAGATTCAAAACGCACATTAGCTAAGCTGCAGTAAGAGTGATGGTAACATCCACAGATCAACACGATCAAACACACCTTCAGATGACGATCAAAATAAACCAAACACAGCCTGAAAAGCTTTATAAAATTCCAAACATGTCTCCCACATCACTATTTGTGGTACACCTCTCATGCCTGACACCTAATCAGACCAAAACAAATCCTAACGCTCATCAGTCTTTACTCCGATGTTTGAAGGGATGAGCACAAAGCTCTGTTGTAAGCCTCACCTTGAAGTTTCCTTTTATCGGCCATGACTGATGACTAAGATGATGTCTTCATGCCTTCTCTCACTGCGGGAAAAAGAATGAGATTTTTAGCAGAAATTTCACAATTTTGGGATGATTTAAACAGGAATAATGTGCTTTGAGCAACACTGTAATTGTGAAACTTTGGGTTGACTTGGGGTTTGTAAATTGTGATGCATGTCTCTGCTTCCTGGGGTCAGATCTGTGTCAGCGGCACCTTATGCTGGTTTCTGCTCAAGGCACATGCACAGTAGCGGCCATCCGATCAGATAAAAAAAAGACATCATGGTGAGCCGGCAACGTAGCTCAAAAGATTGAGAACATTTTACAAAGACAAAAGAGAAGTTGTACAAGTATAACTCTCCTCTCACAGGAGCACAGCGGTGATGCATGAACACCTTAAAGCACATATGTCAGAGTCAAGGCCCGCGGGCCAGATGCAGCCCGCGGAGCATTTTTATGTGGCCCGCGAGATAAATATCAAAAATATATTAAAACTGGCCCGCTGGCCGATTTTACCGCAAAGACTTCATCTCCCATGATGCTTTGCGGCGTCAGCGCGGAGGCGACGCGCCCCCTCCTTTGTGTTTTTTCCAGCCCGAGGCAGTCAGGGGTAGTTGGGTGTCTGCAGCTCCGCTGTCTCAGACAAACTACACTCCTCTCACTCAGCGCCGAGTTCACTCAGCTATTTTCTGATGTTGAAGCCCAGAAACGGAGATTCTAGCTGCTCAGTAATGTGTTCACGACTGAAAGAGAAAGTTTTCCAACTAACGTCCAGACAGAGCCGATATAACTCCAGCGAGCAGCGACACGCTCAAACCAGCACGACTCTGTCGTTGTGTTTCCTCCCTGACACACAACAACATGGTCAAGCTGCTCAGACATGTTCATCAGCACAAACCTATGTGAGCACCTGTTGTCATCTAATGTTGTCATTATTATGATGAAGATGAACAAAACAACAGGAGTCTCCTCCTCAGCTCAGATCAACCCCATGATGCAGGTATCTGGCTGGAACAGGTGAGCATCACAGTAAACCAGTGGAGCAAACTGAGCTTTAAATATGTTGGTTTTATGCTCGTTTTCTGCTCCAAAACATGAAAGTTAACAGGTGAGATGTTGCATTTTCATTTAAGATAAAATGATAGTTTATTTTGTTGTTGGCCCGTGAGAAAAGATTTAACCTACAGTAAACAGGAAGTGGAAAGGCTGCAGATAGATGAATAGAATAGAAAATCCCTTTATTGTTCCTCAGTGGGGAAAGCTAGACGTCACAGCAGCGATGACACGTATTACAGGAGAAAAAAGGAGAATAAAAAATAAGAAAAATGAATAAACAAGAAAACATAAATCCTGAATAGATTTATAAAATGCTGATTATACCACAAGTAATGAATACCACTGATGCCTTTTATTTAAAACTGACTTGCTCGTGTAATTTGGATATTCCACATTCAGTGTTAATGCAGAAATAAGTTTGTTTCCAAATTTAAAGGTTCAAAATTGCATATATGTTGATAATGAAAATGTGCAAATTTGCCGTCACTTTTTCAAAAAATATTAAGTTTGGCCCTCGACTCCGTCCCAGAGTTTCATTTCGGCCCCGTGTGAGTTTGAGACCCCTGCCTTAAAGGGAGCATGTTGCGATGGAGAACAGTCGCCTTTGTGAGCTACAGTGTTCCCCTTACATAGGCTCAGGCGTGGCATTGCGCCACGGCTGAAATCCCAGCGCCACGGCCACGAAGGGAGACACACGTTAGTGAAACGTTCCACGCGCAACTGTAACTAACGGAATACTTTATTTATCCTTGATTAACTTGAGAACTGTACTTCTAGAAGTAAAACTTTGACATGGGACATTAGTTATGTCAAGTATAAACTAGCAATTATCAAGTTTACAGATCAAGAAAATGTCTGAAAGTTTACAACTGCTCGGCAACGTCTCTTCATTAGCATAAAAAAATTATTTGTTTTGTCAACCACAGATTAAACCGATCATTCAGATTACGGGCTCATTCTGATCACCAGATTTTTTCTAACGCATCTCTGCATAAGAACTTAGAGAAACTCCACAACCAGTGATAGAAATTTTTATTCTAGAAATGTACTATTAGTCAATAATTTAACGTGTTTACTTATAATAAAGAGCAGGTGTGAACTCGTAATTAATATTGCCACACATTAAAAAACGCCCCTGCTTCCCTTTTCATGAGTTTCTCTTCCTTCTTCTGTATAATCAAGTAATTTATCTAAGACTGTTTAAGAACTGTGCAACAAATAAAAAGAACCATGACGTCCACAGATCTTAAAGCAAGAAAGCATCTAAACTTTCACATCATTTGCACAAAAGCAATGAAACATGAACAAGATGTTTCCTACAACAAAAAGTCTATGTCCCTGCTGTCCTGTCCCTTCCCTGTTGCTGTAGAAAAAGGTTTTGGACTAGGGATGTTAGGAAAACATGCCACTCCTATATCACAATGCTCCCATCATCTTTTTTGGTCGTTGGTCCGTTTGCATCTGAACCAAATTATTAGAGGAAAGCAGCTCACTCATGGGATTTGGTGCAACCCTTTGCAAAACTGATACAGTAATCCCTCGTTTATCGCGGTAGATGCGTTCCAGACCTGGCCGCGATAGGTGAAAATCCGCGAAGTAGGGACACCCAGCATGCCCCTTGCGGGGATTCCCTCCACGTCGCACCTACGTCACAAACCGCGACTATAAACGGAAGTCGCCTTTCCAGCTCACCACTCAGTCATCGTTTTTTCAGATTCATGATCAGAGTTTCCAACCTACCGATCAATCCAACGAACTATCAGCTCATTGTAAGTTATCTTACTTACTTCTGGAAAGCCCGGCATTTCCGTGTCACTTCGTTGACGCTCGAACGCTCGGGGGTTTCCTAGATCAGCCGGCGTTTCACCGACGCTATCACTTCCACGTCTGTGAAACCACGCTCCCTATTGAATTATCGTATGATCACATTCTCTTTTTGTGGGTAAAACTCAAGAAAAAATTTTTTTTACTTGTTTTTTTTAGTTTTATTACAGAAAGTGCATTTTATGATGAAATTGATGGAAAAAAAACAAGAATTTCTTGATATTTCGCATAGAAAAATACCGCGAATCAGTGAAAAATACCGCAAATCTGCGAATTCCCCCTGAAAAATGCTCCAAAGAAAAAATCCGCGAAGCAGCGAATCCACGATGAACGAACCGCGAAGTAGCGAGGGATAACTGTATTGCAATCATTGATACTGTGATACAGCCCCATTTACAAATCTGAACAATAATTCTGCAACATCATAAAAAAGAGTAAATGAACTTTCTGAGTCTTACTCAAACTCATAGTTTTCTGTGAATTCAGCACAGATAAGGTGTTAGCTAACAGAGCAGAATTTTGACATTTATTTTGTTGACTAATATTATTTCAACTAGGCTGTTTTAACTCATCTGAAACATTTCGATTTAGTCCAATGATGTTTCAACCTGCCACAAGGTGATGTGATCACTCCAGGGTGAACTTTCATTTTGATCTACTGTAATAATCCAAGCCTTTATCTCCTCCTGTCTACATTACTGCAACACACTCCACATGTTTAAACAAAAACTCTGCAGCGAGGCTCCTAACTGGAGCAAACAGAAGAGCACACATCACTCCTATTCTGATGTCTCTGCACTGGTTACCCGTTAACTTTAGAGTTCGTTTTAGAAACCTGACGATTACTTTCAGGGCTCGACATGGTCAAGCTCCTCCCTATATTACTGAACTGTTAAAGCCTTATGCTCCAACCCGAGCCCTCAGGTCCACACACCAGAACCTTCTAGAAGTTCCAAAGAACAGATTTAAAAGTGGAGGTGATCGCTCCTTCCAGACTGTTGCACCCCGACTTTTACCTAAAACTTTTACTTTCTTATTTTTAACTCAAATTTTTTATTTCTCATCTGTTTATGAAATTTTATAATTTTATGACTTTTTTCTGATGTTAATCTATTTCTGTTTCGAGATCATTATGATTTTATGACTTTGTTTTATTTTGATCTATGTGAAGCACTTTGTGATTCTATTTCTGTGGTTAGTGCTTTATAAATAAAATTTACTTACTAACTTATAATGTGAGATATTGACAGCTAAGCTTCAGTGACCCGGTTCAGTAGCTTTTTAATTAGCAGACAAAGTAAAATGGGTAATGGGTATCATCCCCAACTCATGCCAGGGGTCACACCCTGGACCTGGTTCTCTCTTTTGGTCTCCCTGTCATGAACCTTGTGATGTTGCCTCCTGTGTTCTCTGACCACTCTCCAATACTCTGTGATGTTACGTTGCCATGGCCTGTCCCTGTGTGTGAAGCTCCAGCTACTAGGTTCAGAGCCCTGGATGCAGAAACAATTTCAAAGTTTGTGGACTGTATGTCTGTAAGGTTAGAGACCTTTAACCCAGATCCATCTAACGTTGATCACTATTCACAACACGTTGATGTACTTTGTAATCAGGTCCTGGACGTGGTTGCCCCTCCCAAGCTTTGCAAGTCTAGGCCTAGGAGGGAGCCTTGGCTCTCTGATGTCACACGGGCTTGTAGGCGGGCGTGTAGATCCTCTGAGAGAAAGTGGAAAAAGGATGGCCTACAGGTCTCGCGTGAGTTGTTCAGAGCATCTCTGGTTGCTTATCAGGATGCTGTGAGGGCTGCCAGAACGGCCTATTTTGCAGACATCATTGAAACAAACTCCAAGAATCCCAGGATTCTCTACAAAACACTAAACTCTGTTCTGGTGTATCAGGAGCCTAGCTCCATGTCTCCTACAGCTGCTGGAAACTCTGAAGCTTTTCACAGATTCTTTGTTGATAAAGTATCAGGCATTAGAGCAGCTATTTCTGGTAACTCTGTTGACCCTGTTCCAGTTCCTCCATCACCACCCACCCTGAGCTCCCTCAATACTGTTTCTTATTCTGAGCTGAGTAAGCTTGTTGCGAGGCAGAAGCCATCTGGCTCTCCACCTGATGTTCTGCCTTCTCGTCTCTGGAAGGCTGCCTTTCCGTGCCTTGGCCCTTCACTTGGTCAGATTATCAATGGGAGCCTCAGCACAGGTGTGGTCCCAGCTGCTTTGAAAGCAGCAGTTATTCGGCCGACCCTGAAGAAACCTGGTGCTGATGTCTCTGTGATAGAAAATTACAGGCCTATCTCTACCCTGCCCTTTACATCTAAACTGCTTGAGAAAGTCGTTTATCAGCAGCTGGTCTCACATTTAGCTGACTCTGATCTGTTTGAGGTTTTCCAATCAGGGTTCAGGTCTGGCCATAGCACAGAGTCTGCTCTACTGAGGGTCCTAAATGACATCTATCTATCACTAGATCAGGGTACATCTGTGCTGCTTCTGTTGTTAGACCTAACAGCAGCCTTCGACACAGTTGACCACGCAATTCTACTGGACCGCTTGGAACGATGGGTTGAGATCAAAGGGTCAGCTCTGGATTGGTTTAGATCGTATTTCCACAACAGGAAATTCTGCGTTAAACTGGGTGATGTTTTTTCTTCTTGGGAGGGGCTCCGCTGGGGGGTCCCGCAGGGGTCGATCCTTGGTCCTCTTTTGTTTGCCATTTATCTGCTACCTCTGGGGTCAATCTTTCGTAAACATGGCCTTTCATTCCATATGTATGCTGACGATTGCCAGATTTACTCTCCATTGTGTCAGGAGAAAGGTCACTCTATCCAGTCCTTTAGAGTCCTGTATTAATGAGGTGAAGTCTTGGCTAATGTCCAACTATCTACATCTGAATGAGGGAAAGACAGAGCTCATTGTTTTTCACCCCAACAGCAGGAATGTGGATCGTTATGTTGATCTTGGGCCTCTTTCTCCCTACTCAAAACCAGTTGTGACCAGTTTGGGGGTGAAACTTGATGCTGGACTTAAATTGGATGCTCACATCAATTCTGTGATCCGGTCCAGTTTCTTTCACCTGAGACGCCTTGCTAAAATCAAACATATGCTGTCGAGAGCCCACCTGGAGCGGGTACTGCATGCCTTTGTTATTTCTATGCTTGACTACTGCAGCTCTCTATGCAGGGTTGTGTCAGTCATCACTGCGTCGCCTACAGGTTGTGCAGAACAGCACAGCCAGGTTCCTGACTGGGACCAGATCAGTCCGGTTCTGGCCTCCCTGCACTGGCTTCCGGTTTGCTTTCGCTTATAATTCAAAATCCTCGTCTTTGTTCATCATTTCTTCCAGGGTGGTGCTCCCCCCTATCTAGCCACACTCCTGAACAGACACTCCCCATCACGCGCTCTGCGCTCCTCTGACCAAGGCCTGCTCGCTGTCCCTCGTTCTAGGTGCCGTACTCGCGGGGACCGGGCTTTCTCAGTCCTAGCACCGTCACTCTGGAACCAGTTGCTACCCTCAGTTAGGCTGTCCTGATCTCTGCCAGTCTTTAAGAGTCACCTAAAAACCCACCTCCTCCACTTGGCGTTTCCTGACACTGTTTGATTTTGGCCCTCTTTTATGTTGAATTTATTTCACAGTTTTCATTGGTTCACTCTATCCATTGTTTTACACATTTGTCCTGTACCAGAATGTTTCACCTTTTTTGTAATTTGTATTTTGTAATTTGAATTGCTTTTATTTTTGATTTATTCAATATATTTACCTTCAACTGTACCATGTTCAGCGCCTTGGGCTTCCTGACAGGGTTGAGGAAGATGCTTTTTAAATAAAGCTTTGATTGATTGATTGATTAAAAGAGAGAGGCTAGAATGCATTGTTATGGTTGCTAGAAAAATTGTTAGCAACAAACTGCCTGATCTGTCTCTGATTTTTGAATAACACTTCCAACCGCCTGGTAAAAAGTTGCTAGAAACTAATTTCAACAGGATAAAAAACACATCATTATGATCACTATGTTAGGTATTCAGTATTTAATGAGTATGAAATGCCAATTTAAATGTTTAAATGTCTGATATCTGATGATTTTGAGTTTATTAATTCCTGTTCTGCTAGGGACGGTGACTGGTTGTCATCATCTGCCTGCAAAGCCAATTTCCCTGCAAGGACAAGAAAGTGAAATTGGGAATGATGACTTAGTACAAAGACTAACTAAAATATGCAAAGACAGAAATTTTTTGACAAGTTATGTAGTCAGGACCTATACCTAAAAAGTACTCGCACTGTGTTTATCTACGTGATGTTAGGGGTTAAGACTTCCTGTCAACACCTGACTCGTCAAGAGTGTTGCTCTATTTTTGCGTCTGTTTTTGCTTTTTAATTGTTGGAATCAAATTTAGATTAATTGTTCTCGAGAGGAGTTTTGCTTCCCAGGAAAAGGAAGACAAAGAAGAAAAAAACTGACCAACACTGGTAGAACAAAGAGTTAAAAGTTGTTTTCATTCTTAATGATAGTTTTTTTTTTGTACCTTAGAGTACCTTTAGCATCAGAAACATCTAAAAAGCAAGTGGCAATATTCCTATATTCACTAATAAATGCAAAGTAAATAATCTGAGAAAAATAACAAGCAAATAAACTGAAATAATATCAATTTTAGATTATTGCTCTACAACCAGGATGTCCTGATGTGTACACCGGTATGAAAATAGAGTTGTTGTTCATCATTATTTCTGATTTGACAAATAGTATTAAATATCTGGAGTCTGGTTTAATGTTTCACTATGTCCTTATGCAATATACAAATGTGTGCAAATACTTGACACCACAACCAAATTATGCTTTGGTAATCGTTATGATTTCTGCACTACTTCTATAAGTTGCATAAGCATGAACTAAACCTCCTTTGGGATAATTCTGAAATGTAATTTATGAAAAATTAAAGGACACAGATACTATGGAGTAGTTATTGATGCATCATGTTTATCACTAAAAACATCTTAAACTGAAAACCAAACAGGATTTTAATATTAAATAAAGCATTCTGAGAAAGTTCACAGACTTTTAAACCAAAGCATTCTGGAAAACTTAGCGTTAGCTTTCGTGCTTTTCTCCTGCATGCCGTTAGTTTTCAAACAATAACTAGTATAGTCTAAACAAACAAGTTCAGTGTTACTTTTCCAAACAGGTGCAAACATCTGGAGACAGAGCTGCACACATAAATTCAGTCTCAACAGCTGAGTTTAAACGTGATCTTTCTTTGGCACCAAGGTGTCCACAATCTCATAATGCAGCACCCCGGGAACAAGTTTGACCAAAAGGTCCAGTACTGTCCACAACCGAAGGACAAGTGTTTGCTAACCCGCGATGTTTATAAACAATGCGGTCATCATCAACAGCAGCCTGAGCGTTTCAACATCCGACCAAATGAACACTTGAAAAGAAAGTCAAGGTAATGGCTTACTGGCGGTCCCGCTTGATAAATTAGGCTTTAGCGTTTAAAAGCAACAACTCAGAAAACAAGCTGTTGCTAATATCGGGAGCTCCAGCTTCCCACCGGCTACGCTGCTTGGTGAGGGGAGACAGTTTGGAAACAGAAGAGGGGAAACAGAGAGGAGGAAAGCCTCATAATTTCATCACCGCTAGCTTTGGAGCATACTTACCTGGGTTTTTCCAAGTTCAGATTGAGTTTCTCAGTTGCTACACTCCGATTATTCCTCAGCGGTTTATTAAACAAGCTTATTTTTTAAAAATTGTCAATTCTTCTCGCTAAACAATCACTCCGCAAATCCAAGATGGCTACCAGGAACACCTCCTCCTTCGATGCCCTGTCGGGCAGGAGTCCCGCCTACTTTTCCTGTGATTAGTGAACTGCCGCAACTGCCCTAATTTTATTGGTCAGCTGTAGCTGTCCGTCAAGATGTAGGTTTGTACTACTTCCTGCGCATCTCGCATTACGATTGGACGATGTGAAAGGTTAAAGAGTGAAACAAGTTTCATCTCCGCCTCATGTGCCGCTGGGTGTTCTGGGAAATGAAGTTTATTGTCTTCAAGAGGCAAAAACTTACTGTGGCCCGTGCTGCTCAACAAAATAAAAAAATAAAAAAAATAAAAAAAACACGCTAAATTCAGGCTGAAGTAATTAAAGCAGAACTAAAAATCTTATTTTTCATTTTCAGCTTTATGTTTAACTTTTACACAATTAGAAATTTTTTACATTCCTTATAGAGTTTGTTCCAATTCATTCTTTTAATTCTTCATTTGTGAGTATTTGTATCTGTTTTATTGTACTTTAATTGATGCAACTTAAATTTTAAAGTGTTATAACAAAACCTTTATTGTCATATTACCCCATTTTCTTACAGAATACCATTACCAGTGCCTTTTGCTATTCGTTGGTGATGAATTAATCAAGGCTGAGCAAAACCTGCATAAATCACAGTTGCGTTGCTGTAAAATGAATGTTTATTGTTTTACACGCTGACACAAACTTGATTAATGCAGGAAAAAGCACCTTTACTAGTTTTCATAAATGTCTGCTGTACTTTCCAGGAAAAACTCAAAAACATAAAACCTACCCAGATAAATAGCAATGTACCATCTCAATGGAGTGAGGTTGGTAATTTTTAACATCTACATTTGTGACACATTATGGCTCTTAAATTGGCCTTAACTGCACTAAAAACATTAATTTTCAATAGGCATATAATTGCAGCTGAAACAGGCACCATAGTTTGTTGCAAATGTGTCAACATGAACATTGTTGCCTATGACGATGTTTAATTTTATTTTTTTGGGTGGGAGGTGTCGTAGCATGGCTTTTATACTTAAAATTAATATTTAAAAAATTTGCATTACTTTTATACTTTAGGTAGTTTGTAAATCAGATCTAGTTATCCTTCCATGTTTTAGTGCATCCAGCTAGTTTGCAACCATGCTGAAATGCTGTTTTGTCACAAACTGCAGCAGCACTTCTCATCTGACGTAACTGCTTCCAATACTTAATGCATGTTACTCACCTGACTTGCAGTGGATCATCAGGAAACGTTTTCCTGACATTTGATTTAAAACAGCTGTTCCAATTTGATGTAGAGAGCTTTCCAAAGAGGGATAACGTGATGGAGCACTGGTACTAGCTTATGGGTCTGTGTAGAAAACTGTCAGGAAACAGATTTATGGTAAATAAAGACTTGCTGTGACAAAATGAAAGACATAGCATGCCACATCATTTGGTTTAAACTATTATCACTATGTTGTTTTTTAAATGTGAAAGTCAGACGCTTTCAGGTACCTCTGCAACTGTTTTTTCTACTTGATTTGACAGAATTGTCAAACTTCAAATTGATCTTTCATGTGCATGCCTGGTAATCCCATGCTTTTTTAACCTAATGTTGGCTTGTTCGTAGTGTGTGATGTTTCTTAAATACTTCACCTAATAAGAGTGACGCTCACAATGTCACTGTACTGTCTCACCATATGGTTATAATGTAGTCATTTATACAGAACAGCAGTGTTAAAGTGCAATGTTCTACACTAATATTTCTGTACACTGGAGGGCGCTGCAGGCTGAATGCTGCAACTCAAACTGAGAATGAATATTTTTGGTTTAATGCCTTTGTTTCACACTTGTAGGGCTGCTTTATTTACAGATGAATACATTTGTCATTTTGTTGCTCTCAGTATTAATAATAGGCATGCACATGCTTAATATGTGTTTTATTAACATTTTGATAGAAATGGATCTATACAACAATAACGACTAACAAAAACGGGCTAGCAGCATTTATCTTTTTACACTTTGTGCCAATTTTTATCTGCCATCAAAAACTCCCAAAAGCAATAACAACTATTCTCATGACGTTAACTTAAATACAGCAGCAAATCTCTCTTAAACAAAACATATATATGTCATGGTTTGAATTTGAACATGCATACAAATCAGAAATAGAACAAAACACAAAGAAAAAATTCTTCATCCAATAAAAACACAACTTTTTTTTTTAGATTTTAGATCGCTCTGACACCTACAGAAACGTGCATCTAGAAAACAAAAAGCTCACAGTTTTGATCTTCCTTCACTCATAATCAGTTTCTGAACCTGTAGGAGATTGGAAGCAGCTTGTGGGTCTTCTTCAGGTTCTGGACCTTGACGTGAGTTTCGTCATCCATGGTCTTGTAGCAGCGCCGGGCGTAATCCAGAAGCTTCTCCTTCGACGCCTCAAACTCTCCAACATCTGTCACCTGCAGGATTGTTGAAGCTCATCAGAAGTGTGGAAACTAAAACCATAAACTGACATATTTTCTGATGTAATTAAGAGTTCTCATCACAAATTTAAAGTAAATAATCTATTTAAGGTTTTTATTTTACAGTAACCAGTTGAACAGGTAATTTAACATTCTTACGAACAAGCTCTTTCACAAAACCTTTGAAATTCTTCATAACAAAGTTTAAGTTAGTGTTTTACACAATGATTGATTTATGTCTGAACATGTTTGTTTTGCCTCTTGAGGCCAAATTTATGCTTGAACCTTCTCTGGAGCCACCAGCAGCAGCTCTGCGATCGGAGAGGTGGAGGCCATCGTGTTCCGGTCCACTCCGTGGATCTGAAAGGCTCGCGACATGCTCCTCACACGCTGGTAGGTGGACAGGATCTTCTTATAACGAATCAGGACTCCATCTGGGTCTTTGACTGGTAAAGGGACGTGTGAAGAAAATTGAAATGTGACATGAAATAATAAAGTACTTGACTTAGCTTCAGTCTAGTGTTTTTTTTTAATAACTAAGTTGATCCTTTTCTATTAAGCAGGTCTTAAAAGTTATACTTTGGTCATTTTAACAGGTTATCTGCAGGATTAAGGAATCCAAATTTAAGACATTCTTTAAAGGAGCAATATGTAAGAATTCTATAATGAAATATTCACTGTTCTGCCATGTTGTGGAGTTGCTAATGCTAACAGTTAGCTTCTATAGCCAAGATGTACTCTGCTCTCTCCTGGCTGCAAAACCCAGCACAGCCTTCGTCATTTGCGAGCAGCGATGGGTACGTTATTGAATGCTGGTCTATAGTAAGACGTAGATCTGTGGTTTTTCTGACCCAAGCGTTTCCCCGTATATTTTCTTTCAGTGGCTAATGCAGGAAATAGGGGTGGAAGACTTATTTTCACATTCAGCCTGCATGATGATCAGATTTCAAAATGAACTACATGTTTCTCAGTTTACCTCACTTTACAGACAAACAGCATTAACTACGGAAAATCAAATTTAAGGCTTTTAAAAATCCTTGAATATCCTGTTCAAAAAGTCAAATATATAAACAAATCACTATTTAACCCATTGTGTAAAGCTCTCTCAGCGGCCTCAGTTTGGAGAATGAGAGTTACTAACTGCTTAAAGCCTAATGGGCTCGACACACAGGAGGCGACAAACCCACCGCGATCAGCGAAACTTGTCGCCGTCGCGTTTATTACCTGACACACGGGAGGCGACCGGCGGTAGCGGCCAGCGGCAAAGCCGTCTACGCGTTCTGTTCCATGGCGAAATCGAATCCTCCGTTGTTTTGCTTGGCTGTGTCAGGTTGGAGGGAATTAAGGTTATTTAAGCAGTTCAGAGTTAATAAAGCGGTAGATATGATGTTTCACAAGGTGCTGCTAGAGTTATGTGAAATCTTACTTCTGATTTTACTATAAAACATAATAATAATCAACTTCTCCTCCATGTTTGCTCGGAGGTGTACGGAGCATCCTGTCCGCTCATTGGTCAGTGAATGAAACCTCCGTTGATTGGTCCTCGTCCGAGCGACAGCGATGAAAAGTTGAAAATGTTTCAACTTTCTGGGATCACGTCGCTGGGTCACCTGTGCACGACACGTGCACGAGCGCAAAATTGCACATGCACGTTTTTCGCGTTTCGCTTGGTAGGAGGGAGACCCGCGATTATCGCTTTGTCGCGCATGTCTCATTGAAAATGAATGGAGGAGAGGCGATGTCGCCTCCCGTGTGTCGAGCCCATTAAACAGCACCTACTTCCTGTTAGCTTCTGCAGATCTCATTTGAACTTTTAAATAACTGCTTCTTTGATGTTACACGGTGATTTTATCAGATATATTAAAACTCCTACCAGACTTGATCCCTGGATGGATCAGAAATGCTATGTTTTGCTGCTGCTGATATCATCGTTTTGTAAATAACCTCAAAGCAGTGGAAATATTTCTAAAACCACGTTTACATAAACCACAGCGAATTTTTGGTGATTAAAGCCTAATTAAAACATCAAACATCCACTTTTTTTCTAGCGTTTTTTAGACTAGCCATTAGCTCAGTCAAGTTGAACGTATACTCCATTTCTCTTAACTAAAGCTCTTCAGGAAGCCATGCACAACAAGTAAACTAGTAATTATTCATATTTTTACACACAAAATACTTTGAAATTGACTAAATATACATTAAATAATCAAAAATGCCCACATCTTTTCAGCTTTTGTAAAAGTTCTACCATAAGACAGATCTTTAGGTCATTACCTCGTTGTCTCTCCCTGCCGTGTGTGATCCTGAAGATCCTCCTCATCTTCATCCTCGGCTCTCCATTGCCTCGCCCTTTACCCTTCTTCTTTGTCCCCTTCTCCACAGATGAGTCGTCCTCCTCGTCTTCCTCCTCTTCTTCCTCTTCCTCCACATACTCATCCTCAGTGTAGTCCTCTTCCACATGAAACTCCTGCTTGACTGCCGCCAATAAATAATAATAAAAAAAAAAACGTAAACAACAAAAGAAAAAAAACAACATAGAAAGGGATTTCATAAATTTCCACACCTGGGACCGCGATGCTCCGGCGGCTCCGAGGTCCTGAGCCTTGGATGCGCTTGAGGGTCATACCAGACCGGGTGGTCATGGGGGAAGGAGGAGACGGAGAACTGGCAGGCTGAACCTTCACACGCTGGACATCTCCGCACCACTCATTCACTGAAAGCGTCAAAAACACTAAAAATACAAGAATCGTGTTACAAACTCAACATTTTCTCCCAACACCTTACCATCCGGGCCCCTCATGCTGATGATAAAGCGGTCCAGCTGACAGCGCAGGAAGTTCCTCTCCTCCTCTAGCTCCTCGATACGCTTCTGCAGCCAGGCGTTCTTCTCCAGGGAGACGTACAGGTGAGCACGCAGGTTAGAAACCAGGATGAAGTGGCTGTACTGAGGATGAGGAGGCTCCTGCACCACTGGTTCTGTGACAAAATATTAAGACAATAATAAATAAAGGAAGAAGCAAAAAAGCTAATAAAAGAGGTCATTCCTACTTAATCCCAACTAGGAGAGCATAGAATTCCCATGAGCCTTCATTTATATTAAAATTACAGTTACAGTTAATCTTTTTCACCAAATTTTCAGAGTTTTTTATCTCATTTTATGAACTCTCAGAGTCCACAGAGACCTAAAAAAGGCTGGAGGGTAGAGGCAGACCGATATAGTTTTTCTATTACCGATGCTGATATGCAGAGGTCATGGTCAGTCGAAGGTCAATATCTAGACGTTTTCCAGCATACCTTCATGCTAAAATGTCGCCAATAGCAACAGTTGATGTACAACATTTCTGACACTGAATCAGTTTTTGAACCTTGAACTTAACCGACTGTTAAATCTTAATTGTCTGCACTCCTCAGTGTTAAAATCAGACACTTAACTGAAGTTAATCAAATTAATCAAAGAACTGCCCAAGTATTAAATATTCAAAACTGGTACATAAAAACAAATGTTAGCTGAAAATAATTTTTTGAGCATTTATTATACAGATGTTATTCAGGGTCATAAATATTTAAATTAAATTCTGCAGCAGAACCAGGCTGCCCGGGATATATATATATATATATATATATATATATATATATATATAAGGTCAAACATTGGCTCGATATATCAGCTGACCAATGTATCGGTCTACCCCTACATGAGGGATGCATGCATCGACCTTTACTTGATCGTCTACGGTCCTGGTCAAATGTTTTAAAAGAAGAAGAAAAAAACACTGAAGGGTAGAACATTTTGGTCACAACTGGACTGTACACAAAGATTTCAGCTAATATCTCAAAATAATTAACCTTGCTGATGCTAAAATTTGACATTTTATGAATTTTATACCACAGAATGTTACCAACCCCATTAAAACATCATAAAACTCAAAGATAACATCTCGAGAGCTCCCAAAGCTCAGTTTGAGTAAGTGATATATTATAAACAACAAGTGCAGATGTGACCCCACCTTCGATCATCTGCTGGTTCTGGTTTATATGATAGGAAGTTGGGTGCTCCGCTCTCTCTTCCAGAGGGAAGGAGCCTTCATAGGCATCCAGATACACACCTCCACCTCCTTCTGTTGCTGCTGCAGAGGAGGACTGGGGGATGTAGTGCTCTGATGCATAAAAATCCCGAAGTTTAGGAAAAACTCAGAAATAAAAACATCAATGTTTCAGGAATTTGGAACAAAAGGAGACAAACTAGACACTTTGAGCCATCTGTGCGTATAAATAGGGCGAGACTCGAAGAAATAAAATAAAAATAAAGAAATTATGAGCAAAAATGCATATTACAGATGCTTTTAAAATATATTAATCCGTTTTTTTTTCGTTTGGCAGATTAATTATATTTGTACCAACTACTGTATTAGTGAAACTAATGCTAGTGTATGAACACCTGATACAAAACTCAATCAGTTGAGCATTCATTACACAGAAAACAACATTTTCATTTAGAAAATTAACTTTAAAATGTGTAAAAATAATTGGTATGTGTATGAAAAAGTATTTAACAAGTAAATAATGTTGCAAAACAGCTTTAAGCGAGATTTAAATAGAAGGAAACGTTCTGCAGTAAGTATCTGGACGCGTCGCAGTTACCTGGCGTGCTTGCTTCGTGTCTGCTGGTTGAAGGATCCATGGCTGCAGGTCGTCTGGAAGGGAGAATTATGAACAAACCCAGATTAACAGCCGTATTATTTGTCTCCAGACGCTCCGTGCATCGTTATGCTTCAGTTATACAGCCGGAAACAAGCCACATCTGCTACTGCGTTAACAAACCACCTTCAGCAGCAATTACCTGATTATAAGAGGCCTCAACAGGTGTACCGCCGCGCGCTCGGGTTTGTTAACGCCACACATGCGCACAAGGATGCCGAAAGCCAAATGTGTTACAGAAAAAAAAACTGCCTGGGTGAAGAAAAAAATACCCTACATGCACGTGACGTAGCTAGTGATTTACAAAGGGTACTACATTAAAATAACTATTTATTAACTGCCTAAAATAGCCAAACATGTTTACAGTTTTCATTTATCAAGCTTACGTATGAGAAAAAATGACGTCTGTCGCTTTTCTTAATGAATTCTCTAAAGTCCGAGTGGACATGAACGCAGCAAAGCTTCACCAGAAATCTGTCTCGTAAGGGGCGGGGCACAGGTGAGAAAGGCGAAGATGCGGAAGTGGTGAAAAGTGGAAGATAAAACTGAGAGGTGTTTTATGCTTGAAGAGTCGCAGAAACAGCAAGTAAGTTCGAGTTGAAGTGGATTTAAGTGTTTTTAAAACCGGTTAAACTGGTTTAAGTGTGGAAATGTGAGTCTTTGGCTGGTTGTTTATAAGCTAATTGGATGGAAAGCTAGTTTTTCAGAGGGCTTCAGTTTAGGACTGAGTCATAACGGACCCACAAACCTACCTGTAGCTACTTATTGTTGAGAACTTTACATGTTTAACATTTCTGAAACAACTTCATAATATTTTCAGTTTGTAGAAACTAATAAAACATTTATAGAAATAAATTTCTAGGCTTTTACTCAAATCTAATTGTAAATTTTCTTTTATGTAACTAGAATTAACAATGTTTTACTGTACTACATTTATCCCACATCTTTGTACATTTAAATATTTTTATGTAACATCTATTTTCTCTGATAAAGGCAAAGTTTTTTGTATCATTTTGATATTACATTTTCTGTATCTTAAATATATATATATATATATATATATATATATATATATATATATATATATATATATATATATATATCATTATTTAGAAGTAATTAAAATGTTCATATTCTAAATATCTACTATGAAACCCTTGATTTCTAAAAATATATTTTAAAATATTTATTTAATAAATATCCATTTAGTGATTTAAATAATAGTATTAGTATTTAAAAACAGTGAAAATATCTGATGACTGCTGCAGGATTCAATAAGTAATTCAATCATAAAATTGTCTTTGAATTTGTTTTTTATTTATGAAATAGTTTGGCATTGTGGGCGTGTTTGTAACAGTTTGTTGCCTCTTTCCCAGTCCCACCATGGGCCTCTGTGATGGCCTGTCCCACTGTAAACTGGCACTGGCCTTTGCTGTGGTAATGGACCTACTGGGTGGAGCCGCCCTGCTGGTGGGAGTCTTCGCTCACTTGGAGATCAATGGAAAGGACTTTGGAGACTTTCTGGTCTATAGCGGTATTTACCCTAATTTCCGTAAACAACTTTCAGTCATATGGAAGTAGGGGGGAGGGGATGAAGCGGCAATACAGTTTAGCACCTCGTGATGGTCCTGTTGGTGAAAAAACTCCCAGATTTCCAGTTTAATGGGAAATGGAGACAAAAAAAGAGCAGACAAAATAAAAATAATGTATTAAAACAATCAAACACAAATCAGTGATTTTCTATTTGTGAAAGAACTCTAGGTCAGGTGTAATTAACTGTATTAATCATCCAAATAAACTTTATTCATTTCTTCTAGTTTTCCATCGTAAAAATATAGTTGATACTTCATTTAGAAACCAGACGTGTGTTTATTTGATGTTTGCTCAGGAGCCCTGTTGGTGGTGATGTCTCTGGCTGGATGGGTGCTGTGGTACAGCGGGAACATCGAGGGCCTGACGCAGCAGAAGGAGCTGGGACACATCGGCAACGCCGTCGACCGAATCGCTCGCACCCTCAGCAGGAAGATCCGCTCGTACCGCAGCTACCACTGAGGTGTGGAAAGGAAATAAACATATATTTACTTTGTATTTAATAAGCATTTCATCAAGCTTTGGTCATCATTAACATGTCCAGTTTTTGTTTCTAGAAAAACAAAAATAATGGATTAAAAAAGTGTTTGAAAGAAAATGATTTCAGCTCCAGATGTTTACCTCCAGTTTTTTTACTAAGTGTTGTTATTGTTTGTTTACTAACAGTGTTTGTATATTTTTATATCTGTAATAATTTGCTGCATTTCAATAAAACATGTTTTTAAACGAGTACACAAAACAACAAGCCTGTTGTTTGTCTTGGCTAAAAGGCAGGTGTTGATGTTCCTGTGGAACACAGGGAGATATCAGATGCACCTTAAGGAACAGAAAACTGTCATCAGCTCGTTTAGAGAAAGAAAAAAGTATTTTTTTATTCATTTTAAAACTTGACTCGATGTACATCATTATTTACTTAATTAAAATATATAAAATTATTCTTTTTCAGGTAAAAATAACACAGATGTACTTTAACTCTTGCAACAAATACATTTATTTGAGAAGTGTTTGTATTTTTAGTGCTTTTATTGTGTAGACATGTATCAGGGTGTCCGCGGGGTTTTAAAAAGTATTAAAAAGTGATAAATAAAAATAGTCAAATTTAAGGCCATTAAAAGTGTTAAATTTGGTCTCAGAGGTATTATTTTTTCCAAATTAGGTATTTTTTTTTCAGACTATCAGATGCCGTATTCTGAACATCGACATAGAAATATATTCCGAATTAAATGTTTTGAACGATTATAAAAACAAAACAAGCTGATTATTTGCTCCTCCCACTTGCGCTGCCCTGAGTTGCAAATGAAGCGCTCCTCCACAGTGTTGCCAACCTGGCGACTTTGACGCTATTTCTAACAGCGTTTCAGACCCCCTTCTTGACTTTTTAAATCTTAAAAGTACCTAGCGAACACCTCAGAAACATCTCTGGTAACCTTAGCTACTTTCTGGATAACTGTCGTCGACGTTTCCTGCAGGTTAGCTAAACACTCCGCCTGCGCTCCGGACCGTTCTTCAGGACATTATAGGAAAGGGAATGATGTAGTGATGTGTCAGTTGCTAAAGAAACGGCTCTCAGAGTTGGCTCTGTTGGATTAACCAGAGTGAGTGACACACACTGCACCTGCGGACTCCTGAGCCGCTAAAAACAGCTAAATGTGCGCGTGCGGCGCGCTAAACACACGTGCAGCTTGCCCGATTGCTGTGAGACCGGGGTTGGGGGGTGGGGGTGCAGCTGTGGTTGGGACAATTATTACATTAACTGATGAACCTGTAAATAAATAGTTTATAAATAAGGTAGAAATAAGTTCCTCACGCTGATAAATAATAACTAATCTCTCTGAGGACACGGTGCTAGTGCACGCTCCTACAGCACCTTGACATGACTCAATAAATGTTATGCAAAAGTTAGTGAACATCAATTTGCATGTATTTGTTATAAATGCCACTGTATAATTCTTGCTGTCAGTATTTGCAAGATATTGGTATTTGGGTCTGCACTGGTTAGACTTAAATGAGTTAAACCAAGGTCTACAGCCCTTGGGTCATAGACTATGAGCTGTAAGTATATTGGTCTTTTTATACTGGGAATCAGGAGTTATTTTAGTGATCATCTTGTTTCTTGTTTATTTTTGCCCTGATTGTGCCCTGAGCAGTTTTATGACTGAATAAAAAAAAATCTACATAAATTGAAAAATCGTCTTAAATAATCGAGATCTCAATTTCAGTCACAATAATCGTGACTATTGTTTTTGCCATAATCGATCAGCCCTACTTTAGCATATCCGGTCACATAATGATGATGTCATATTCAGTGGTCGTTGTGCATCATTTCAGGCCTCGTGGTCAACTGTCTGAACCGCTGAACATAAGTGCCTGGCTTATTTTCTAAGTAAAATAAATATGTGCAATACATTGTCAACATCAGTGAGTCTCTAAGTCTATTCTTTTTGTATGTTATATATGTTAAAATATGTGTAAATAGGTCGCTGATTAACACTTGCAATTTAGTGTTGTGATGGTTTTAAAAAAATTCTGAAGGTAGTAAAAAAAAGTATTAAAAAGTAGTAAATTTTACTTAAGGATTGCTGTATATACCCTGTGTATGTTGATAAGTGAATACTTTGTCTCATGAAACCGTTTAACTATTATGAGAAAGCTAATGGTGTACAGTAGATTTTGATGCAAAGAGAAAGTATCTGAGTTACTATCTTAAAAAATGGTTTCTTGGAGAAAATATAGGAAAGTTTTAAAACCAGAACAAACTGCAACCTGCAGCTTGTGTTCATAACAGTTTTCACCACAAGGTGTCATCACAGCATCAAGACTGGACAGAGAACTCTTGTCTATATACATATATATATATATATATATATATATATATATATATATATATATATATATATATATATATATATATATATATATATATATTATTGTCAAAGTGTGGCATTGCTTAGAAATGTATTTAAAAACAGCATGAACTCTGAAGAAAAACACGATCACATTGTGTTGTCATAAAATTCACAAGGGAATGGTGGTACGCAGCGAGGTCAAATTGACTCAGAGAAAATCAAATATCAATAAACCTAAAGCAAGATTTAAAAACTAAATGTAAACTATTTTGCTACTTAACATTTTCAAATGAATCAGAGTAATCTCCTGCAGGTGGAACTTGTCTTAATAAATATTTTTAAGATTATTGTTGATTTTCAGTTGTTGAAGGAACTAGTTCGTCCCATCCTGACGGTGCTGCCTCCCTCCAGTGAGGAGCTGCAGCAGGGGGAGGCCACGCTCATGTGTCTGGCCAACAAGGGCTTCCCCTCAGACTGGAGTCTGTCCTGGAAGGTGGACGGCAGCAGCAGCAGCTGGGAGGAGGACAGGAGCCCCGTGGTGATGAAGGACGGCCTCTACAGCTGGAGCAGCACCCTGAGGCTCACTGCAGACCAGTGGAGGAAGGTGGGCTCTGTGACCTGTGAGGCCACCCAGGGCTCCCAGTCTCCAGTCTCAGAGTCACTCAGGAGAGACCAGTGTTCCCAATACTGATGGGACTCACTGTGATGCTGGTTTTACTTCGCTAATTCTTTCAGTTTGATTCATGTTTTATGACCAATAAATGCTTTACAGCATTCAAACAATGAGCCTTTGCTGTACAGTTGCTTAGTGAGGCAGATAAGAGTATCAAAATAATGTAAATAGGCAAGGCAGCTATGTCGTTTCAGTAGCAGCCATTACCCTGTAACATCCCACAGTTCACAAGAAGTCAAAACCAACAAGAATAAAATAACAAGAGGTGTCTCTACCTTTAACTCTAGACGCAGCATTCATCTGAAACACAAACCCAAAAACATTTAAATGTTCAGTCATTCTTTTTATCAACTAATATTTCTGAATTTTTTAACTTTGAAAAATAAAAGTACTTAAAATCAGAATTTATAGTGACTCTCTTTTTTTTACCTAAACCTACAAAATAGCCCCTTTTATCCCAGTAAAATAAACATGTGTTGAATTTTCTTAACTTCAAAAGTTCCCTCTGTGCCCAGATTAGGGAATTTAACAGCCAGAGTTTTTACCGTTATAAAAGATAATAAACGGGTAACAGTTCTCTGTTCTTACCACTAGATGTCATCATAACCTAGGCAATAAAGCATTAATGACTCACGATGTTTAAAAAAAAGTGAAGATTTAGACTGTAGATGCATTGAAATAAATGTTTTTCTGAGTTGATCCACTAGATGGTGACATCGTTCATAGACTGTAAACATGATGAACCCACAACTCCAGAGCCCTCAGCCTCTACAAGCAGATCCCATCCAGTCTTGATGATTTGTTGTCAGGAATGTTTTAATTTATTCCGACGGTTTTTGTCAGTGTACTCAACTTAACTGATATTTTTAACAGATCGATGGTTTTCCCACAGTTTGGCAACACCTCTGGGTCAGTGTTTAAAACAAATGGGAATGCGATGATATCTCTATCAGAATAAATGTTCTGTCAATAACATTAAGAGAAGCAAGCATTGCAGATTGTTTTTAAAAGTAAATAAGAGTGGATAAAAATCTGACTGATAAATTCAATTAAAGATGCTCACGTAACAACAAAAATTATTATTTATGATGCTGTTGAGATAAAACCAACAGATTTTACATTTGATTTCTACTTCTGATGTCAAAATGTCAAAAAGTGTTTCACCCATTCTAAAGAGTTCAGAATGTACACATATTTATAATAATATTGTGTCTGATTTATTTCACGAGTGTTAGACAGTGAGGGGGAAACATGGAGACAGCTGATGATCAGCCGACTGACTGTGTGTGTTTGCATATGTGTCCTGCCTCTCTGCTCCCAGCTGTTAAGAGGTCAGTGTTGATCAGTGGCTGTCCAGGTCTTTCAGAGACACCGACACACCGGCAGCACAATGATGATGTCACTGACTCTACTGCTGACCACCCTGGGGCTCCTTGTGAGACTCTGATGAAAACGTCTCTTTGGGAGGAAAAATGAATGATTAGATCTTCTGTTGTTCAGATCTTTATAATTTTGCTTCATCGCTCATCAATCCCATTTTCTCCTCTCCAGGTTCATCAGGGCAGGCTACAGTAACTCAGACTCCTGGAGCTCAGTCTGTTGCTGCAGGACAAACTATTTCCATCAGATGTAAAGTCAGTCCAGCTACAGATTACTGCTTCAACTGGTACCTTCAGAAACCAGGACAAGCTCCTAAACTCCTGGTTACCTGCAGTAGCACACGCCAGTCTGGAGTTTGACTGGTGAGTCCAGACTGGTGGCACAGGAGTTAAGAGCTCGTCCCGTAATCGGAAGGTTGCAGGTTCGAGCCCCGCTCAGTCTGTCGCTGCCGTTGTGTCCTTGGGCAAGACACTTAACCCAAGTTGCCTGCTGGTGGTGTTCGGAGGGACCGGTGGCGCCAGTGCTCGGCAGCCTCGCCTTTGTCAGTGCGCCCCAGGGCAGCTGTGGCTACATCGTAGCTCATCACCATCAGCGTGTGAATGGGTGAATGACTGATTGTGTTGTAAAGCGCCTTGGGGGGTTCCAGGACTCTAGAAGGCGCTATATCAAATACAGGCCATTTACCATTTACTTCATTATTGTCGGTATGTAAAATTATATTTATGTATTTTAGGTCACTGCCGAGCTGAGCTTAGATGTTAACATGTACTGTTTAACCATGAAATTTAAATGTAATAGGGTAAAACCCAGTGCATTTAACATAATGCTGCACTTTAGAAAATGGGTACAAATATAACATGTTGGTGGAGCTGGGTTCCCACTATCGGCTTGTGGAGCTCTTCGGAGACCTCTCTTTTCCACCTGGTTCTCTCCTCCCCACAGCTCAGCACATCTCTGTCTGATCGCAGCTTCTGTTTGCTGCGCGGGCTGCCGGCTTGTGGAGCTCTGGGATGGAAACCTTTCCACCCGGTTCTCCCCAGCGGCAGCTCTGCGCATCTCAGATCGCAGCGGCGCTTGTCTGCTGCGCGGGCTGCCAGCTTGTGGAGCTCTCGGGAGACCTCTGTGTTCCACCAGGTTTTACCCAGCGGTCAGCCCGGCGTATCTCTGACTCAGAAGCTCTGGTGTTGTGCACAGTTAACTCTGGTTTTAGCTAGGTTGCTACCTCCCTTAGCTTAGCTCCCACCTCCGCGTTAGCTTTGGCTTAGCTTCAGGTTAGCTTGTAGCTAGTTCGACGGGTGTCGTCAGTTGATCCCAGCCTTACAGCCCCACCCTCAGCCCCACCTCTCTTCCCTTTTGTGGAATTGTCTGGGCTTGACGGAACCTGTGACACGGTCAAAATGGCGGTGGTGGCCACCTCCCATTTAGCCTCAAAACCGTGTTATTGAAGCCTATGGAAACCCATTGTCCATATATGTATATGTCGATATCCGAGAGCACCTCAGAGTGTTGAATGTTTTAAAAAACATCTGAAGACATTTTTAGTTACACAAGCTTTTCCAAACTGATTGGTATTGCTGTTTGTTTTACCATGTGTTAACTTAGCATTGTATGGTTTTATGTATTTATTTTTATTTGTTTTTATTCATTGTTTTTAATTATTCTTTACATTGTTTCTGATTTCCTACTGTAGCACTTTGAGATTTCATTGAAATATAAAGTGCGTTACAAATAAAATCTATTATTATTATTATATCTGATGTGGAGAAAATAGGCAGTTATATATATACTAAGAGTCTGCTAGTGTTGCCTTTTTTTGATATTGTTCTGTTTATGTTGGTGATTGTCTGGAAACGTTAGGAGTCAAACATATATAATTTTTAATTCAGTAAATCGATGATTTACGTTGGACTTGTTTTTGTGCCCAAACATTGAACAAAGTCAAGTTTGCCTGATTATTATTTTATTAGTAACAAGGTTTTTAAATTGTTACGTGTTAAACAATTTTTATTTAAAACTCCAGTAAAGAAATGTATTTATTTAGTTATTCTGAATTTAGATGAAAAAGTTTTTGGTGTCCCCCCATTTTCATTTATCATCACTGAGAAGAAAAACTTTAAAAAATCATCAACTCTTTAAACTCTAAATGAGTTATAAAGGTTTATTAAATTCAGCACATTTAATTATTTTATATTAAGATGAAATATCATATTTAGTGTTTTGAAGGATGAAAGTGTTGCTACACGTGTTTATGTCATCAGTGAACTGCTGAAGCTTCCAGCTGTTAGTTTCTGTTCAGCCTGACTGAGGGAGGTTTTTGTACGACGGGTTTTCACTGTGTGAACAGATTCTGGCTGTTTATATAATGATAACTCAGACAATAATAAACTGCAGCATCTTCAGCCTGAACTCCACTGATGGTCAGAGTGAAGTCAGATCCAGATCCACTGCCTGAAAAACGATCTGAGATTCCTGATTGTCGGCTGGTAGCGTCATAAATGAGGAGTTTAGGAGGTTGTCCGTCTTTCTGTTGGTACCAGTGTAAACGGTCGTTGTTATAAACATCCTGACTGGTCCTACATGAGATGGAGACGGAGCGTCCCACAGCAGAGCTCACTGCTGCAGACTGAGTCACTGTGACCTGACCTCTGGACTCTGAGGAGACAAAAGCAGAAAGCAGCTTGATGCTTTTGTGGGCTTCATTCCAGAGGGACAGATGTTCATAGAGGAGAGGAGTTGGATTCTCTGGACTTTACCTGTGAAGCAGCAGCAGAGGAGAGTCCAGATGAGGACGCAGATCAAAGTCATGGTTTTGATCAGGAGGATTTCCAAGTCTTCTGTTGTGATGAAGGACAGCTGTCAGTCATCCAGTCTTCAACTCTCAGGACTATAAACTCTCCCAGAGCACTGGAGCATGGTGCTGCTGATGCAAAGTCATGCTCTATGGAAATATGCTGACTCATTCCAACAGGATCATGGCTCAGGCTGATGATGGTTTTAAATCACATAAATTTAAAGCATGATTTTGAATCATAATTTAACTCTGAGATCTTCATAAAATTATCTTTAACATTATTACTTTTAATGTATAAAAAGCTCAAAATGAAACCAATAACTTCCATTAAAACCAGTAACAACACTTTTGAGACTCTGTACATTTTTACAAATGTTTCATCTTTTCTACAATATTTTCTAGTCAGCTTGTTATTTATTCATCAGAACTGAAACAAAAATTCTCTCTACTCAATATTTACTTTTACATGATTTCACGTTTGAACACCTTTACAACCTTTCATCATGTTTAATCATTCAGGATAAATAGTATTACTGTGTTGTTGGGAATTCAAAACTAGCACAGTTAATTAAATTTAAGCTGACAAAAGTCTCATTTAGTATAAACTGGTGAGTTTGTTTGTGTCAGACTCACAGAGCCGTGTCTCTCAGAGGTTTTTGTACGACGACTCGACCAGTTTGTATCACTGTGGTACACGTTTGGTGGAGGAACCAGACTGGAGGCTGGAAGTGAGTTAAAACCTTTAAATTTTACATTTAAGTTGTTGTTATTGTCATTATTTAAAGAGATTTGTTGTCTTTTGAAGTAATTTTGTTAATTTTTGAAGGTTTTACAATTAATATGAATAACTAAACTGCAAAGGTTGCTTTGAAATTAAAATTTACAACATTAAAAAATGTATTAGGATTTTAAAATGAGGCCAAAAAAGAGAAAACATTTATTTATAATGATTTATTTTCTAATCATGATGATTAAAAACAGAAAGTCGTGTCTCTACAGTCAAACGTCTCTAAACAGCAGCTGAGTTAGTTTGTATAACTGTGGGTCACGTCTGGAGGAACCAGACTGGAGGTTAGAAGTTAGTTTAATATTTTTGGGTCTATTATAAAAACACATATATTTAAATACATTCCTCATTTCAGAATGCCCTCTGTACAGAGACCTTTTACAAAGTTATGTTCATTTATAGAAAACTTTTAACATGTTATGAAAAATATTTTTTATTTACATTTCTTGTCTTTGTTTCTATCTAATTAACTGTGAGAATTAAAAGAAACAAAAATTAAATTTTTTATTTAGCATTAATAATACAATTAAATGTTTTTTCACTTTTTATAAGATAAAACACAAGTAATAATTTTCCTTATTAGAATCAAATCTGCCTTTTTAAAATGTTTTATCTTATTTCCTTTGTGATTTATTTTCTACTGTAACTCTGAAATGATTCAGATGTAAAAAGTTAAACTGCTGGATGATTTTCTCTGAGCTGATCTGCATCAGAGGTTTCTGTTAGGAAGTGAAACAAAGTGAGTGACTGTTGGAGCAGAAACACATCTGGTAGAAACTTCTTCACATACAGCATCACTTCTAGGAAGAGTTTCTGCTGTTTGACTGAAAGCTGTTTAGTTCCTGTCCTCTAACCTGATTGGTGTCTCCTAGGTGATACCCGTCCCATCCTGACGGTGCTGCCTCCCTCCAGTGAGGAGCTGCAGCAGGGGAAGGCCACGCTCATGTGTCTGGCCAACAAGGGCTTCCCCTCAGACTGGAGTCTGTCCTGGAAGGTGGACGGCAGCAGCAGCAGCTGGGAGGAGGACAGGAGCCCCGTGGTGATGAAGGACGGCCTCTACAGCTGGAGCAGCACCCTGAGGCTCACTGCAGACCAGTGGAGGAAGGTGGGCTCTGTGACCTGTGAGGCCACCCAGGGCTCCCAGTCTCCAGTCTCAGAGTCACTCAGGAGAGACCAGTGTTCCCAGTACTGATGGGACTCACTGTGATGCTGGTTTTACTTTGCTAATTCTTTCAGTTTGATTCATGTGGTTTTTCACCTGCTTAAATAAAGCTTGTTTTATAAGCATTAAACTCAAAATAAAGTCAGTCTCATTTGTTTGCTTTTCACTTGTTTAGTTTATAACAGAAACATCTATTAAAGACATCTAGAAGGTTGTAAAATGTAAAAATCTTCTGTACCAAGTGTTGATGTTTGTGCAGGTCAAACCCAAGAATTCAAGATTGTCTCTGAAAAAAAAAATTTATTGATCCAAAATGAAAAATCTAATAAAAGGTATTGAATTTTCAGTTCATCAACAATCCTCTAAAAATCAGCTTTATCTGGTGTGACATGAGTTTAGTTAATATTTCAACTCAAAACACAAAATAATAAATAAATCAAACAGGGTGTGCAAGTTTCCAGAGTCACTTTATAGGTAAAAGTTTAGATATATAAAATAAAATCTAGATTCCTTTAAAAATGCTGATCTGTTGCTGCACATCAAACTTTTTTCATTACTTTTCTTTTTTGCTGGAAACAAAATAAACTCCAGAAACATTTATTCTACAGGTTTATCTTCCTACAGCTTGTTCTACAGTAAATAACTGAGATTGTCTGATGAACTAAAATAAGTCTTTGTTATTAGCTAAATACGTTCTGTTGTCAGAGTCTGAAGATGTTTAAGCTTTTATGTTTAAAATCAGCAGAAACATTTATGTTTCATTTGAATAAAATATAAACAAAGTCAGGATTAGTAAACATGTAGATATTTAATCTGACTGAGATCTGATTATCTGTTTATAATATGGTAACAACCAGAGGTGGAAAGAGTACTAAAATGTCCTACTTAATTACGAGTACCAATACTTTGATAATTTTTTACTCAATTACAAGTAAAAGTACTTGCCTAAATTTTTACTCAAGTAAAAGTAAAAGGTATCGTAAACAAAATGTACTCAAAGTAAAAGTTACTTAGTTACATTTTTGTCAGCGTAAGGCTGCATCTAAGTAGTGCTAAATCACAACGCCATTTCACAATTCGCTCGTGTGTGTGCGTGCACACACACACACACACTCAAACACGCACGGCTTGAAGGAGGGATTTCTATCCAATCAGTGAGAACAGGACGTGCACATTGATTGGACGAGGTTTTTCTAGGGTGGTAAGTTTCAATTGTAATTCAAATTATTCTTTATTTTGAGAAAAAATCATTTTTTTAGATGCCATCAGTGTGTGAGGTATCTCAATGTTTTCATGACAAAACTCTAACATGAGACTGCGCTCTAACCTGTCACATAACAAGCTAAATGCAGTCAAACATTTCAGATGGAC